TACCCTTACCCCTCACTTCCTCTTGTATGTAATTTTGTATAACCCTGAGGGTCTCCTTCCATTTCCATGCAATTTCCCTTCTCTCTCCCTTTCCCTCCCACCTCTACTTTCAGGGATCATTTCTATAGTTCGTTACTACATAATCTTGATTAAATCTTGTATCAGTAATAAATYATGCAATTGTTCCTTTGAGCTTGCAAGAGTTTTAACATTAACTGATACACATTATTTTTCCTGTATGTAGTTTCTACCTTATAGCTCAAAAAGTTTAATCACATAAATATTCCCTGATATATAGCACAATTTTGACCTTTCTCTTACCTATACCTTTGAAGTGCTGCATATCATCTCATAGCTATGTTGTAAACTTAAGTTTCATTCTAGCAAGTCTTAGCATTGTGCAAAACCATTGTGTAAAGTTAYAACACAGTTTTAAGTCTTCAAGAATACTTTCCTTGTGAATTGGAATACAGGTATGTGTGATTTTTTTCTTTTCCATGTTATTTATTCAGCCAAATAAATTCGTATCAGAAATATGTCTGTTAAAATGTAAGTGTTTGATTACTGTCAGCTGATCAGAAATATGTATGTTAAAATATAAGTGTTTGACTACTGTTAAAATTTTAGTTGAATGGAAATCATTAAGAATTTAACCACTGTTTCAACTTATTAGTAATAAGTTATGGTACAACATTATTTACTTCCAGATCCTTCCATTTCCTGGTTTGATGTAATCTTAACAGAGTGTGTCTGATCTCTTCTGAGGATGTCAATTTTGTCCATGAGTCAGTACAGGCAGATAGTATGGTAAGTTTTAGCAAATCACTTTCTCTGTGCATGTCCTTCAGACAGATTATGCAGCTCTAGATGGATCAAAACTACAACATTTGGCTAAGGTGCCAATATAAAACTTGGCTCCCATCTTTGCTGGATAAGTCAACTACTGTGTTTCTCTAAAGACACATATCTAGAGTTTTATTTCAAATTCTCTTTTTTATTTCATTCCTTTACTCTAGCTATGACTAGGGTCTTKATTCCACTTTAATGCTTCACAATATTGCTCCATGCTGCTGCTTCTCAAGAACTTTTTGGTTCACTATAAATAATGAGGCAGTTCCTCTTTCTTTTCTTTTTCCTTTATGACACATTCATTTCCCCTTTTCCTGAATATTACCACTGGCTTGATCTATGGAATATCAAAGCAAGTTATTACTTGAATATAACAAAAAGATAAGAATATCAGATCCTGAAATGTCATTGATAAATATTCTTAATTTCCATTTCTTCTTTTAAGTATGGTCATCCCAGATAGAGTTCTTATTCTTCGTGACTCCCTTTCATGAAAAACTTGGTTACTGGTACATTTCAACTGCCTGTTTCCACTGGATTATTGTTATCTTGGTTCCAAGAACCACAACTTAAGCCATTCTATTTTTTCTCATTATGTTAATATTTCTATTCATTCCATTAACTAGGAGTATACCACCCATCATCACCAGTTAATTCCAGGAAGCTGTCATAGTTAGATGACATTTTTCTCTTCAGTGCAAGTGACAGTATKTAGGAGTTTGTTTTCTTCAATAATCTCTACTTGTTAAGTCCAGAGAAACCAAGAAAAGTAATTTCTGGCTATTTAAAAATTAATCTGTAGATTCATACCTGTGAGTGAATTCTTTGGGTAGAACAAATGATAACTCAGTTCCAGCATTGCTCTCCAAAGTTGCTGTCGGTGCATGATCATGAATCAATTCTGAGATTTCTTCAACACTGCAGTGAGGTTCCTTTACCATAACAATGTGGTATCCCACACCTGAAAAAAAATCATATATAGAGGAACAAATAAAACAATTTTGTATTTTCCATATTCTTGTGAGATTATATCTAGCTTTCATGGTTTCCATGAGCTAGAAGACAGAGTATGTCACAAATCATTTGACTACATTTGCCTAGTAAATACTTGTCTTATAAATTAATTGGTTTTGTTAGGGACTGATAAATGACCTTAGTTGTATAACAAGACCCAGCAGAGATAGGTTGAAAAGTCTATTAATTGACTTCTCTTCCTCTGGACACTGAAATCTGATATGATAAGATTAATAATCATTAAACAAATATTTATTGAGTGCATGATAATTATATGTTAGGCAGTAAACAAATCAGATAAAAATTCTTTCTTTCAGAAATCTGAGAAATCTTTACAAAGTACTTCTTCAAGTACTTAGGTATACATCTCTGGCATATGAGAAGCTACAGGTGGGGGTGGGTTAGTGAAAAAAATTCCTCGAGAGCACAATTTTTGTAGACTAAGTAAAATTATACAAAATAGCCAGCAGTATGCACTAGAATAAATATATCACGAATAAAGAATTTATTCAATAATCTTAACAGACTGGAGAGAGGAAAAGAATCAATAAACCAGAAACATGTAATTTAAAATGATCCAAACTGAAACAACAACACAAAAAGAAAATAAAATGGATGAGAACACAGAATTCAATCAAAAAGTTCCAACGTGAGAAACAAATCCTAGAAGAAGAAATATAAAGAGATAATAGGGATAACTTTTGTAAAAAAAATATGAAAACATCAATCCAAACACCTAAGAGGCTCAGGGAAATCCCAAGTTCTTTAAATAACAAGAAAACTTCACACAAGTGTAGCAGAATAAAATTCCAGAAAAAAAAAAAAAACAACAAAGAGATTTTAAAAGCAGCCAGAGGATAAAAGACAAATTAATAAGGGATGAATAATAAGAATGAATTCTTCAGTAGAAATAACAGAAGTCAGGTGCTATGTTTCTATTGTAAAATGACATATTTAATACCCTTTTAAAAGTCTGTCCAAAACTACATATCTGGGGTYGGGTTGTAGTTCAGTGGTAAAGCACTTGCCTAGCACATATGAGGCACTAGATTCAATCCTCAGCACCATATAMAAATAAATAAAGGTACTGTGTCCATCTACAACAAGAAAAATATTTTTAAAAATTATATATTCATCAGAAATATCCATAATAAATGAAATTGAAATTAGTTCATGGCCTTGATAATGTTAGTAGGATCTCAGTGAACTCCCATCATAAATAAGAAAACTGGAAAAACATGTGAAACAACAGTTTTCAGACACTGGACAAGAGGTAACTGAGGGCAATAATCACTGTGAAAGAACAGATACTTAAAGGCAATTTCTTAATGGAAGTACAGAAAATGGGAATGAAAACAGATTCTAATAGTCTCTGCTGAATTGAGAAGATGGAGATCAAAGTGTGGGCAGGATGAGTAAGCTAAAAGTTGAGAAGATGATTGGAGTGGGGAGCTCTGCAGTGAAATAACTATATAAATCTCCTCAGGAGCACCTGTGGTTCTTTGCTGACTACCAGGCAATATAAATAAAAGCAGGAACTCCATGTAACTGGCTTTCCTCTTTTCTCCTCCAGTTGTTCACATAAGACCRGAGTTCACATAGTTAAGACAGTATCAGTGTTTATTCTGTTAGAGAATCAYGGAAATTTAATGAAGACTCCAGAGGGTTAATGTTTCAGTAGTAGAACTGAATTATTGGTGGTTAAAATGAGGCCTTGAAGGGATTAAAATGGTCTTCAAGAAACTCAGTTGTGTTCAGGAAAGAACACAAAATCCTTTAGATAAAAATACCTGTTTCCATGACAGAGGGTTCTTTTGCTTAATTCAGACAAAAATTGCAAAGAGGCAAAGTACAGGTCCTTTACTAATAGCATCTCTTGAGTTCTGGGCAGCAAAGGTCTTTTAGAGTAGARCATTATTTTGAGTGAAATAAGTCAGATGCAGAGAGAAAGTATAATATGTTTTCTTTCATAGGTAGAAGCTAGGAAAAAAATAAAAAGAGAGAGACTCAGTTTCGTTCAAAGACACAAATAGGTTAAAAACTACAACTAAAACAAAATATTAAAAAAGAAAGGATATAAGAATCTAATCTGTGCAAATTGAAACAAACCAAAAAAAAAAAACAACAACAACAACAACAACAAACTGATGTGGCTGTACTAATACTATAAAGTAGTTTAAATTGAAAAGGTTACAAGAGACAAAGAAGAACATACATATTAACAAAAGATTCAATATAGCAATATAGCAAGGAGATATAATAGCTACAAGTATTTACATATTTAATAATAGATACTCAAAACATGGAGCAAAAATTTCCAGAAATGGAGAAAAAGACATATGATAATAAAGACTTCAATAACCCCTGTAAAAATCAAATCTTGATAGATTTTAAAAGGTAGATACTTTTTTAGAAAGCATATAAGTCATCCTTTTAGAACMAAACAGGATAAGGTTAGAAATAAATAATGGAAAGAAAACTGGAAATTCATAACTGTGGAATTAAACAAGAATCTATTAAATAACTGATGAGCCAAAGAAGAAATAACAAGGGCAATTAAAAAACACCTACCTATGAAAAGTGAAAATGAAAATACAACATACCAAAATTTAGGGGATGTAGTGAAAATATTGTTCAAAGAAGAAATACCTTAATTAAATAACTTCATAGTAGCTTGAGGAGTTAGAAAAAAAAGAACAAATTAAGCCATAAGATAGCAGAATGAAGTAAATAATAATGATTAGGGCAAAGATCCACAAAATTGAGAAAAGAAAAACAACAGAGAAAATTAATGCAATCAAAAGTTGGTTCTCTTTGAAAAGATCAGCAAATTGAGAAACTAAGCTAGACTGACAAAAAAAAATTTAAAGGCAGATGCAAATAATTAATATCAGAAATGATACTATTGATATCATAGTACTACTATTGATATAGAGATAAAATGCATCATTAGAGAATACTATGAATAAGTATACACCAATGAATCAGATAATTTACAATAAATGGACCAATCCAATGCAGTGGCCCACAACTATAATTCCAGCAATTCTGGAGGCGGAAGCAGGAGGATTGCAAGTTCTAGGACAGTCTCAGCAATTTAATGAGGTACTAAGCAACTTATACCCTGTTTTAAAATTAAAAAATAAAAAGGACTGGGGATGCAACTGAGTGGTAAAGTACCTCTGGGTTCAATCCTCAGTACTTGCCTCCCCASTAAAAGGACAAATTCCCTGAAATACACAAAATACACAAATTAAGTAAAGATGAAATAAAAAATTTCAAAATAAATACAGCTAGTAAAAAGATTGAATCAATACTCTATAAGCTCCCAAGAATGATAAATCTTGGACCAAATGTCTTTCTTTACTAGTGAATTATACCAAACATCCAAAGAATTAACAACAATCCTCCTCATATTTTTCCAAAAAATTGAAATAACACTTCCTTATTATATGTGCCCAGTGTTATTCTTACACCCAAACCAGAAAAAGTATCAAAATAAGAGGAAATTACAGGTGAAATACTTTTATGAATATAGGTGGAAAGCAATACAAACGATTAGCAAATCAATCCAGCAGACTAATGAAAAGATTATTCACCATGATTAAATGGGATGTATTTCAGGAATGTAAGTATGATTAATGTTAACTCATTATTTTAATACAATACAGGGAAAATATGATTATCTCAATTTTGCATAAAAAGTATATGACAAAATTCARCATATTTTCATTCTAAAACCTCTCACAAATTTGGAGCAGAGGGATTATTCTACAATATTTTAAAGGCTATTTGTGAGAAATTCACAGCTAATATCACACTTACTGGTAAAAAATTTTGTTTCTCTTGAAGATTGGGAATAAGACAAAGATATCCACTTTCACCATCAAATTCAACATTCTAATGACTTGTGTGTAACCAGAAATATAAGAAGAAAAAAATCTCTCTTGTGGATGAAATGATGTTATATTCATACCCCCCACACAAAACACAAGAAAGTTATTGAGGCTAATAAACAAAATCAGCAAATTTGAAGGGTAAAGATCAACAGAAAAATTAGCTTAAACATCATTCACTCATTTAAGAGCGTTTATGATGTTTCTAATTTTGGTCTATTAGGAATAATATAAACTAACATAAACATATTGAGCTTTATATATTATTTCTTAACCTTTATTCAAAACTTTTACTTTACATTGTATCAATACTTGATTTTCASAAACTAAAACCACTGCCATGTAAGTCAAAATTAATAAATACATATTTCTAGTATCTCCTAATCAACCTTGTGTTCCCTAAATCTCTGGGCATCGGACACTAACAAAGTGAAAAGATAATGTACAGAATGGGAGACAAATGCTTTTTGTGTGTGTGTGTGTGTATGTGTGTTTATATATATATATATATATATATATATATATATATATATATATATATATATATCTCAAATATACTCTGTCAATGTAAAGAAACCAGAAGCAAACAAAAAATATGGTGTATGATTAAATCACAAGACAATCAAGAACAGGCAAAGCTAATATATGGTAATAAAAATCAGAAAGTTGTTGCTTTTGGGGAGGTAAATCAATAGAATCAGGGAATTTTCTGTAGTCATAAAATTAGTATCTTTTTTTTCTTGGATTAAAGTGTATATATACATATTCATACATGAAGTAGAGAAGAAAGATAAAAAAGGAGAAAGAACATTCTAGAAAATAATAGTTGAAAACTTTCCACATCCAAAAATTCAACAAACCCAAAGCAAGAAAAATGTAAAAGAGACCCATATCCCAACATATCACAGTAAAAGTTCTGAAAAACAAAGGAAAAAAAGTTGAATATGTATGTGTGTATACACACACACACACACACACACACATACACACACAGAGCACACACACACACATACAGAGAAAGAGAGGATAATAAAACTAAACCTGTATTGTATATAAATTATGATTAAATTTTAAAAGTACTCCTCAATAAGAGCATTAATTCTAGAGATGGGATATGGATAATGAACAAGGTGATGACTAATTTAGTGCTTAACAGAAAAAAAACATTMAAAATATTAAATATTGGAGATAAGGTACCAAAGAAGATAGTATGTAGATAATTCTGAATAATGACCTAAGAGAAGTAGGGAAGTTATTAGGACATATTTAATATTTTMCATGTTTAGAAAATACTTCATATTGAAATAAATGCTTCTAATATATATTTATTACTGGTTTTACAAATATGAAACAAGATGCAGAGACATCTGCTTCCCTACATTCCTCTTAGAATCCATCAATCTATCTCTCTAATTCATTGTCCATCATCTATCTACTTGTGTCTATTTTACTGAAGACAAAATTGCATTTGATCAAATTTAACTAGAAGCCATATGGGAGAAATAAATATAAACAAAAAGGTGGTAAATAATTTTGAATTTTGAAGAAAATAGGAGCATTATTTCAAATGGGTTATAGTCAAACCTGAATTAATTGAACAGAGGGAATCACTGAAGCTTTGGGTAGATACACAAAAAATAATAAAATTATGTTAAAATGAATATTATTAGGAGTCGATATTCTAAGAATGAACAAAAGAAGAGAGACCATATAAATGTTTCAGGAATATTGAAGAGCCACAGCACTGCAGGGATCCTGTGGCCATGATGGCTATGCGGTCACCCAAGGCATCAGCTTCATCCATGTAGTGAGTAGTCAGTAGGATGGTGCGATCCTGTTTATAGGTCCTAAGGAGATCCCAGGTGGCCTTTCTTGAGGCTGGGTCCATGCCAGATGTTGGCTCATCAAGTATCACCACCTAAATTCCAGAAGAACAATTCCATGACCATATAAACATTATGTACTGGTATCATTAGTGTATTACCAGTTACAGGGTTTACTCTTATTTTGCTTTTTTAGTCATTTGTCCAACTGAGTGAAGATAAAATATTTAGACAAAACTGAATTAGTCATGCTGTAATAATTCCAAACCTGCTGCCATTTTAACCAATGAGGTTGTTACTATGAACCCATCTGATTTTAATTTAGGAGGTTGCTTTTAGTGTGTTAGATCCATTATCAGCTCTCATGTTTGTGTCTGCTAATATTTCGGAATATCTGAACAATGCAGGGGAATCCATTTTTAGTTTTTTTACCTTGGAGTTCCCTATAAGAGCTACAATGATGGAGAGCTTGCGCTTCATTCCTCCACTCAATGACTTTGAAAATGAGTCACGTTTTTCTAGCAGGTTAAAAGCTGACAGCATGTTGTCAATTTCCTGACGACGCAAATTTTGAGGTACTCCTTTTATCTAGAAATAGAAGTCAGAGTTTACATGGTGCTTCCAACTATATTTGTAGGAAATTTCATTTCAGCTCTTACATCATCTCTGTGGTGGTTTATTTCCTTTGCCATTCTTTATGTTTAAAGGAGAATTCATCAAATTCAATTTTTGAACTTAAAAAACTAAGGATATTGATAATTGGTAATCTACCCAAAGTACATGAATATAACAAGAAGGAAGCTATCTTTGACTCACCACACAATAGAGGTCAAGGTGCTCTGAAACAGTCAAGTAGTTATACAATAGGTTCTGTTGGGGACATAAGCCCAAGAATTTCCTGATTTCTGTCATKTGTCGTGAGATCTCATATCCATAAATATAGGCCTCTCCACTGGTTGAAGGATAGAGACCTAAAATCAAGCAGAAGATAAAACAAAACCTGTTTTTCTGAGGTAACATGAGAACAAACTGCTCATTAGCACCTCAACTCTAAAACCTACATGTTTTACTCATTAGTCTTAGCAATATCTCACAAAGAAGAAAATTCCAGAAAATATCCAGGGCTATTTTCAGGTTACTGATATTAGAAATACTTTTTTTATTTTTCTGTTTGCTTAATTTCATGCTGAATGAGTGTAGATGAGTGCAAATTACTTGGATAATGAAAACATGAAAGAGTGTTAAACGAGGACAATCCAACATTATTACCATCAATCATTTGGCAAGATGAATAAATTGTTATAATCAGCATTGCCTTAGCCTGGGGTAGACTCTTTTAAAATTTGAAAATCCAAACAATAAAACTTATCCTTTAACCTATTAAGCCCTAAGTTTTCAATTCTCTGAACATGATAAATATTCAAATATTATTTCAAAATGACCAGAAGTGGCATATTTGTGGCTCAATTTGAGTTTTTGTAGGTGTTTCACATCTGAGATGATGGGACAAAATGGATAAATTCTTGATAACTCATTAATCTTTTTTGGTTTTGTTTTGGTCTGAAACTTGTGGGTGCAAGCCAAGCATCCTCTTGTTTTAGCCTACTGAATAGTTAGGACTACCATGCTCAGCTCATTAATCCCCACCTTTTTTTTTTYTCTACAAGGTACTGAGGATTGAACCCAAGGGTGCTCTACTGCTGAGCTACATCTCCAGTTTTTTCATTTTTTAAATTTTGAAACAGGGTCTCACTAAGTTGCTGAAGCTGGTCTCAAACTTGTGATCCTTCTATCTAAACCTCCCAAGTATCAGAATAAATCAGATTTTGTTGTGTGAATTTTGTAAGTTTTTTCTTTGACACATTTTGGGGCTCTGTTGCTAGGTGCATAAATGTTTATAATTGTTGTTACTTCATGATGAATTGAATCTTGATCATTATAAAATATATTTTCTTGATTCCAGTAAGACTTTTTGTTTTAAAGTCTATTTTATCTGGTATTTGTATCATCACTGAAGCATTCCTGCAGTTGCATTTTGCATGATATATCTTTTTTCTTTAACTTTCAACTTATATATCTCTTGTAGACAGCATAGAGCGGAATCTTATTTTTTTTCATCCAATCTAACAATTTATTTTCCTATTTTGTGTTCTATGTCTCATCTTTTTATAATCCTCTGACTACTTTATTGCTTTCTTTTGAAGTAACATTTTAATTCCTTTATTTTTTTTTCACTATTTATATGTTTATTTTCTTGGTGGTTGCTCTAAGAGTTACCCATATATACTTTATTAGTATCTAYACTTTGACTTTATACTAATTCCAAAGAACTATTTATTTAATCATTACCTCTAAACAGMTCTATTTCCTCTTTTTTATTTTTAGGCTATTATTGACTATTCATGTGATATATMTGTTACCAACCCAACAATACATTGCTATTATGTACCTATGTATTTTTATACTTTTTAGAGAAGCTAAGAAAGAAGTAGAAATATGTATTAGTAGTATTATGTTTACTGTCACTAATGCCCTTTATTTTTTCCTGTGAGTTTCTATTGCCATCTAGAATCATATTATTCTAACTTTTTGTCCCTACTTCATATGTGCTGTTACTGTCAAACATAGTATCTTTCTATATGTTATAAGCCCAATAATACAATTATATGTATTTTAATACAATTTCTGGTAAGGAAGATCTGCCRTCAATGAATTCTCAGACGTTTTGCTTATCTAGGAATGTTCATTTCTGCACGATAAATATAAGAACTTTGAATATGTCATCCCACTGACTTCTTGCTTTCATTGTTTCTGATGAGAAATCAGCTTGTAGATTTACTGGGGCTCTGCTACATGTGATAAGTCATTTTTCTCTTGTTGCTCTTTAGCATTTTTTTCTTTCTTTTTCAGAACTTTTACTGTGTTATGTTGGGTGTAGATATCTTTTACATTTATCCTATTTTGGGTTTGTTGAACTTTTGGATCCATGTTTTCAGCAAAGTTGGAAATTTTCAACTATTATTTTCTAGAATGTTCCCCCTCCACTTTTGGTACTCATATTACAAATATGCTAAGTTTTTTCTTCATCTTTTCTATTATTCAAACTGCATAATTTCTATCAATGTCTTCAAATTAACTGATTCTTTTTTCCATAATTCCCTGTTAATTAACTTTAATGAATTTTAAAATTTGGGTATTATAGTTAATCCAGAATTCCCATRTGGTACTTTTTAAAGATTTATATTTATGAATATTTCCTATTTGTTTAGATATTATTTTCCTTTGTTTCTTTTTTAAGAATACTTCTTTTTAAATTAGAGATTAAGTTATATAGTAGTTGGGTTCATCCCCCAAAACTTACATGCATGGAATTTGATTTCAGCTAACAATTCCCCCTTTTCCCTCYCACCCCCATTCTCCTTCCTCTACTCTACTAAACTTCTTTTTACTCATATATTTATATCTGATTGGTATATTTACTTATACCCAAAGGTAAAATTCCCTGTGGTATTTTTATATGTGTGCATAAGATGATTTTTAAAAGAATTCCTTCTGCATTAACTCCCCTTCTTCATCCCTCCACTCTCTCATCTCCTCTTTCTAAATTAATAATCTACCCTTTATCTTTATATCCTACACTTTCCTTTATTTTACTCTAGCTTTCACATATGAAAAAAAACATTTGACCTTTGAGTTTTGCATAGTGCACTTACCATGATATTCTCCATTTCTATCGATTTCTGGCAAATGCCATAATTTTATTCGTCTTCATGGCTAATAGAGCTTGGTATATATAGATATGTATGTGTGATTTTATTATATGTATATATATGATAGTTTCTTAATCAGTTCATCTATTGATGGGCGCCTGAGTTGATTCCATAATTTAGCTACTGTGAATTGTGCTGCTGTACACATTGAGGTGGTTGTATTGCCATAGTCTGCCAATTTTAGATCTTCTGGAAAATACCATGGAGTGGTATAGATGGGGCCAATTGTGGTTCCATCCCTAGTCTTTTGAGAAATCTCTATACCACTTCCAGAGTGGTTATACTAGTCTGCAGTTCCATCAACAATGTACAAGTGTTGTACACATCTTTAGCATTCATTATTATTTATAATAATGACTAGAGTAAGATGAAATTTTGTGTGTAGTTTTGATTTGTATTTCCCTGATTTCTAAAGATGCTGAACGAACATTTTTTCATATTTTGTTGGCCACTTGTTTTTTTTTCTTTCTATATTTTTTGAGAAGTTCCTGCTTAGTGCTTTTGCCTATTTTATTGAGTGGTTTATTTGAATTTTTGGCATTTTAGTGTATTTTCTTGTTATTGTTTTTAGATATACATGACTGTAGAGTGTATTTTGACATATTATACATATGTGGAGTACAACCCAATCTAAATTAAGATCCCATTCTTGTGGTTGTACATAATCTGGACTTACACTGGTCATGTATTCATATATGAGCAAAGGAAAATTATGTTCAATTCATTCTACTGTCTTTCTTATTCCTATCTTACCTCCCTTCCCTTTATTCCCCTTTGTCTAAATCAATGAATTTCTATTTTCCTCTTCCTTACTGCCTTTTTGTGGGTTAGCATCCATATACCAGACAGAACATTTGTTCTTTGGTTTTTTTGGGACTGGCATATTTCACTTAACATTATGTTCTCCATTGACTGGAAAATGCCATAATTTTATTCTTCTGTATGGCTGAGTAATAAATGTGAGATAATATATATTATATATATAATATATATATAATCTCAAATTTTATATATTAAATATTATATAATATATAATGTCACATTTTCTTCATCCATTCATCACCTAGATTGGTTCCATAGCTTGACTATTGTGAATTGAGCTGCTATAAACATTGATGGGGATATATCACTGTAGTGTCCTTTGGGTATAAACAAGCAGTAGAATAACTGGGTCAAATGGTGAGTCCATTCCAAGTTTTCTAAGGAATCTCCATACTGCTTTCCACAGTGGTTGCACCAATTTGTAGTCCCACCAACACTGTATTAGAGAATCTTTTTCCCAACATCTTCACCAACATTGTTACTTGAAGTTTTGATAATTGCCATTCTCACTGGAGTGAGATGAAATCTCAGTGTAGTTTTAATTTGCATTTCTGTAATAGCTAGAGATGTTGAACAGTTTTTCATAGACTGGTCACATTTCTTCTTTAAAGTACCTGTTCAGTACCTTTGATTTATTGATAGGGTTATTTGGTTTATATAGGTGTTAAGTTTTTGGAGTTCTTTCTATAATATTGGAGATTAATAATGCTCTATCTGACTCAATTTGGGTAGGTCATTTGTCATATATCTCTAGAAATTTGTTGATATCTTCATGATTTTCTATTTTATTGGAATATAGATTTTCAAAGTAATTTCTGGTTATCATCTGTATTTCAACAGTATCCATAGTGATATTTCTTTTTTCCCTCACAAATTTTAGTGATATGAGTGTTCTTTTTTGTTAACTCATCTAAGGGTTTATCAACTTTATTTTTTCAAAACCCAACTTTTTGTTTCATTGATTTTTTTTGAATTTTTTTTGTTTCAATTTCATTGATTTTGGTTCTGATTTTAATTATTTCCTGTCTTCTACTGCTTTTGGTATTGATTTGTACTTTTCCTTGGACTTTGAGATGAAATGTTAGGCTATTTTCTTGGTGACTTTCTATTCTTTTAGAGAATGCATTCAATGCAATGGACTTTCCTCTTATAACTGCCTTCTTAGTGTTTCAGAGATTTTGAAAAGTTCTGTCACTATTTGCATTTACCTGTAAGTTTTTTTAAAAATACTTAATCTCTGATTTCTTCTACTGGTCATTTCTTCTATTGGTCATTCAATGACATATTATTTATTCTCTAGGTATTAGAGTAACTTCTATTTTTTAAAAAAATTATCATTGTTTTCTAATTTTATTCCATTATGATCTAATAGCATGCAA